ATTAAATATTTTTAAATTACATAATTTAGAGGATCTCATGTCTATCTACTAAATCTCTTAATTTTATAATTTTGAATAAATTTTAACTAATAAAGTAGCTAGTGTCTGTTGTTATCATTCCTCTTATTGACCATTAGAATTATCCTAGTAATTAAAGGACAGGGGTTGAGGTAATTAGAAATATAATGATTTATGTTTAATTTCTATTATAACCATCTTTGTAATCACTACAAGAAAGGTCACATATTTTAAAATTTACATGATATTAATTTTTTTAGATATATTATCCAAAAATAGATAATTATATATATTTTAAATATCATATTATAATTTAAAATAAAGTAATGTAATGAACTATTAAATAATTTTTGAATTGTGTGAAATTTGGTATTTATAATCTTGAGTATAATATTACAAAATTCAACAATTTGATTGGTCAAATTTACATAAAAAATTTATTGAAAATATAAGATTTTGTGCAAGTTTTTAGATTTACGTACAACTGGTATTAATGGATTTTGACTATATATATATATATATGTTTCAGAAGTAAGTTTTGATAGACTTACTCCATTCAATGACTTATGTTTGATATCAAATTTCAACAACTAAATCATTGAATTAAAGGGTTTTAATGTGCAAATTAAATTTGAATTTTTTTTAAATTGAAAACAATATAATACTTTGTATTGTTCATTAATTTAAATTAATGAAACGGAGTATTAAATAATTTAAATTTTTAAATTTTTTTTTTTTAAATTGATCTATACGTGAATGTGGGTTATTGACTAGAATAAGCCCATCAAAACTCATTATTGAAGTAAATGGATCTTCCTTCTCTTTCTAGTTCTCTCTCTATACATATAAAGAGATAAAAAAAAAAAAAGGAATTCACATGCCCCAAATATATACATGAAAGGATTAAATTACAATGATTTAACTTTTATAACCATTACATCATTTTAATAACTTTATATATAAAAAAGGTGAATTTTATCTATTCAACTGTTAAATTATATTACATTAAATATGTATGTCAAATTTTGTTAAAATTGAGTAACAATAGAAAGACAATCAAATATTTTTATATTTTAGTATAATTTAAACTCTCTTTCTCTCTCTCTATATATATATTATGTCAATTTTAAATTATATAAATATTGTATCAAACAATTTTGAATTGATATTAAATTTTGTATATAGAAATAAATTTTTAATATAATAATAAACTTTGAAAATAATAATTTAACTAAAAATTATTAAGTCATGAAATAATTGATGAAAATTGTATTAAGTGGATAAGGATATAATGGAAAGTGGAAATAATCATTAACTAGAGGAATTGTGTGAAAATAACCAATTTATTTATCGGATCACAAACTAAATGTATAAATTTGATATAAAAAAAAAATTGCATTATGTGGATAAGCATATGATGGAAAATGGAAATGATAATTAACTAATGGAATTGTGTGAAAATAACCAACTTATTTATCGGATCATAAACTAAATGTATAAATTAGAATATGAACAAATTACTACCTGAGCAAGTCATGCAGGACAGCCATGCATGTCCGCTTCTCCGTCCAGCTTCGGTTGCGACTTAAATCTTGTCGAATGTCATGGTAAATTGGTTAGAGGTATCTTTAGATAATCAATTTAATTATGTATTTGTTTAATAAGTTTCAATAATTGAGGTTTAATAAAAGAAAATTTAAGAATGTCAAACGTCACTTTATAGATTCAAATAAGTTTTTTTTTAATAAAAATATTCCCTATATAAGAACCTTCAAATGCTTGAGCAAGAGATTTATTAGTGTATTTATATGTTATATTTTATTTAATATTTTCATTTTTATTTTCTTGATTAATATCACCTCTAATTCCTTATGGAAGAAACAAACGATTAGCCTTTTTTCTTCTTCTAATTATATGAAATATAGGTTTACTTGTATTGATTAGTAATTTTCTTTTATATCATTCATTTATAATAAAATATATTAATTAGACACCAACTTAACTTTCATGCAAGTGAGTACATTTTTTATTAACAACAAAAGACACACTTGTTGGTTAAACTTTTAAATTAGGTGTAGTTGTTATTAAGTATAATTATTACTTAAATCAGTTAATTTAAAGGATATATTTTGGATCAAATTTTAATTATGACATTATTAATTATAATTATTTAACTTAATTATTTTATTGATCTTGATAATTTAGTTATTTGTTTCACATGATAAAAAAATCGATTAATTTATATTAACTAAGAAAGTTGGTTTATATAATTTATTTTTTTAATCTCGTTAAAAAAAAATAACCCATTTTTCTAAATTACTCTTCCTTGAAAGTGAAATCAATAATAAAAATGAATATTGAAAAAAATTGTTTCTTAATTAATTAAAAGAATATTTAGGAGATTATGATATTAAAAGAATATTTTGGAGATTGTGATATTAAAATTAGTTTGAGATTTACTTATATTTAAAATTTTTAAAAACAATTTTTTTTGTTTAAGTTTAAAACCGGAGAGAATACTTATTTGGCAAAAACTGCATGTATCTTTTATGAAAAATAATCCTGCTCAAACTAAATAGGGCTATTAGTTATAAATGAATAATTATATTTTTAAGTGTTTAATATAATTTTTGTACCATGATGGTCTCCCACAGATCGACCAAAGTAAGTCGGCAAAATGTTGATCCAACATGTTCTTTGCACCTTAGTGCTCGAGCATGGAAGACTATGTACCGTGGTGGTCTCCCATGAGCCAACCCGAAGTAGGTCGGCAAAATATTGATCTAATATATGTTCTTCGCACCTTAGTGCTCGAGCATTGAGGGCTATGTACCGTGGTGGTCTCCCATTGACCGACTCGAGGCACATCGGCAAAATGACGAGCCCATAATAGGGACCCAAATATGGGAAGATTTACTGGCTCACTCAGACAATCAATAAAATCCCACAATCCGTGGGAACCATAATATAAATACCGGGAGTTACGAGTCCATAATGAGACGTGATTTATGGGATCATAAAGAGGAGTGTGTGATTCATGTCTATAACGCTACACCATTATATATAGCAATGATTAGGTCTAAGAGGACATGTTACTCTTATCAAATGTTTTAGGTCAAGATTGTTGTCAAGTTCTTTTAGCTCGGTATCGCTAAAGGTTCTTCGGCGGTGATCTCCAATACCGGAACAATTTTATATTTATGTTTAGAATTTAAAGTTCTTAATTAAGTTGGAATAATAATATGCAAGTTATTTCGCGCGTTAGATGTTACAGTTAATATATCACACATTTTACGAACTAGCAAAAAATAAAATGAAATACAAGGTGCTTATCTAGAACATTCTGATGACCATATCCATTCCTATATAAAAATAAAGGCTGCATCTTACGTTATTGTTTGACTATTACATTGGATTATATCGTATGATTTCACGCTTTTTCACAGTGTTGAAAGCTCAAGAATTTTGAGTCCCTAATAGGGGAAAGTAAGTTTCATATCCACATGAAATGAATACATCTATAATTGGCTATTGTCTGTTTCCAAATCACAAAAACATTTTATTTTTAGAAAAGGTTTCAGCTCGTAAAATTCTCTCAAAATCTTGTAAAGGAAATAAAGTGAATAAATATCCGTAGGATATGAAATGAAATCTCAACTTGACAAAATATCATAAATTAAATTTACTCGCATTTAATTAGAATGAATTTAAAAGAAGGAAAAATAGAAAACGTATTAATGAATTGCATAAACAAAATATTATTTAAACAAGTTCGTTGTATTATTAACACACTTTAGAGTTTAGACACTAAGAGTATGTTTGGATGGAGAATTTTAATGGAGTAATTCATTTGTTTGAAGAATTTCAAATTCTTTGAGGTGAAATACTTTGTTTGGATGGAGAATTTACAAAGAATTTGAAATCCAAGCATTTGTAAAATTCATTGAAATAATAGAATTTCAAATTCTCCCAAAAAGGTAAGAATTTGAAATTCTTCATATTTTTTTCCCCTTATTTCACTTATATATTTTATCTTATATCTTCATATTTTTAATTATTGAATATTCAAAAATATTTTAAAAAAATATTAAATATTATTTAATATTAAATTTTAAAATTATTAAATATTTAAAAATTGGTTAATATTTATTTTTATAAAATTTTATTTAAAAATCTTAACATATAAATATATTTTTAAAAATAATTTTATCATGATAGAATCAAATTATCATATCCAAATTAACAATTTAAAAGTTTAAAAAAATTGAATTGACTTATCCAAACAAAATATTTTAAGAATGATAGAAATTGAAATCAAAGTAATTCAAATACCAAGAATTTTAAATTCCTTGAATTTGTAAAATTTCTCATCCAAACACACTAAATGAAAAATACTGGCCATCACTTTAAAATTGTGTCATTCTCTCTGCTATATATCATTTTACCCCCATGTGGGCTTGCTGTTGCCTCTTCGTGCCAACTTTAGCATGTCGCCCCTTCCCAATCGTGTCTCCTGATATTTTGATTGATGAGTATGAGGCTCTGGTTAATACAAGGGGGGAAATTGTATTTATTAAGAAATTGTTATTTACCTTTTATATCAGTAAACCAAAAATATTGTTATGAAATTAAGAATACAGGTGAAATATAGTAGTAAAATAAAAGCAGAAAATATTTTATTTTTGTTGTTTGGAAAATATAATAAGAGTTGAAAAAGAAATGAATCCTGTGTAATAATAAAATAATGTTAATAAAGCATATAAAAGAAAGTGTGATTGCATCTATTGTCCGTGAAGGGCCCACGTCGGCACAGACACAACACGATGACAACTACTACTCCGCAATACATATCTATTCTAATAGAGTTGGTCTGAGCGAACCATTTATGTGGCCAAGAGAGAACCACGTGTCCCCAATTGATTCGTCATCACCTAGATTTCCTCAATACGACTAGTCACTAATATAGATAATAGAAAAACCGCACCCAAAGAAATCAACTCACGCACTCGCCCAACATTCAAGTTCGCGTATCCCTCCTTTCTATTCCACTCGCCACTCGCCACGACACTAGTAAGCCGCGTTTTTCAAAAGTGCTTTTGTAGCTTCAGAGATGGGAATTGAAAGAGGAGGCTTGAAGGGGTTGAGGAGCGGCTGGACCGTGCCGCCCAAGCCATGCGACTCCTGCAAGCTGGCTTCGGCGGCGCTTTTCTGCCGCCCCGATTCCGCCTTCCTCTGCATCGCCTGTGACACCAAGATTCACTGTGCCAACAAACTCGCGTCGCGCCACG